TGCAGGAGCTGCGAACGATAGGAGATCTACATCAGCCTATTGTTCATTCGTTTGGGGAAATTTAGTAACCTGGAGAAGTAAAAAACAACATGTGGTGTCAAGAAGTAGTGCAGAAGCCGAATATAGAGCAAATAGTAAAAAACTATTTGGCTAAGAAGCATTCTCAATGAACTGAAGGTGAAAACAGAAATGACAATGAAGTTGTTTTGTGACAATAAGTCAGCCATCAGTATTGCTCACAATCCTGTCCAACATGACAGGACCAAACATGTGGAAGTTGATCGTTTCTTCATCAAAGAAAAGCTAGAAGGAGGAGAAATTTGTATACCTTACGTTCCCACATCAGAGCAACTCGCAGACATTCTGACCAAAGGGCTATACAAACAAACATTTGAAGATTTTCTAGTCAAGCTGGGCATGATTGACATTTTTGCCCCAGCTTGAGGGGGAGTGTTGGACAGAATAATCTATTTTAGGTTATTGGACAGAATCATCTATTTTAGGCGCATAGTAATTGTAATTAATTGTAGAATTGTAGAATTATCTCTTGCCTTGATTAGAATTGTATTTTAGGTAGATTATCTTTTTGATATTGTAGATCCTTTTATTCTAGGGAATCAATTAATTCCCAGGATTTCCAGGATTCTCTCTGTACCTATTTAAGTTCGGTAAATGAGAAGAAAATTAATTCCGCCTATTTTCTTCTTTTACAGATTGTGCCATAGCTCGATATTCTGATTCAGCACTAGAACGAGAAACCACATTCTGTTTCTTACTCTTCCAGGATACAAGATTACCACCAACAAAGACACAATAGCCAGATGTAGATCTTCGATCATCTTTAGAACCGGCTCAATCAGCGTCTGCAAAGCATTCTCTTCTCATGTGATCATGGTTTTGATAAACAATACCTCGTCCTGGTGCTCCCTTTAAGTAACATAATATGTGTTCTACAGCAGCCTAATGATCAATGGTCGGAGATGACATGTATTGTCTCACTACACTCACAGAGTAAGCAATATCTGGACGAGTGACTGCGGGATAATTAAGCTTTCCAACCAATCGTCTATATCTTTCTGGGTCTTCAAATGGCATGCCTCCTTGAGTGAGTTGCACATTGGGAAATATGGGAGTATTGCTCGGCTTTGATCCCAACTTCCCTGTTTCAGCAAGCAAATCAAGTACATATTTTCGTTGAGATAGAAATATGCCTTTCTTACTCCGTGTTACCTCAATACCCAAGAAGTATTTCAACGAGCCTAGATCTTTTGTTTGGAACTGGCTATGAAGATAATTTTTAAGGGCCAAAATACCTGCATTATCACTGCCTTTAATCACAATATCATCGACATACACCACAAACAATGTGATACCTGCTTTTGTTCGTCCGTAAAAGAGTGAGTGATCTGATTTGCCTTTGATCATTCCAAACTGTTCAATTGACTGACTTAACTTCCCAAACCATGTACGAGGACTCTGTTTCAGACCATAAAGAGATTTTCGAAATCGACAAACTTTACCATACTCCCCCTGAGCAACAAACCCCGGAGGTTGCTCGATGTAAACTTCTTCCTGAAGGTCACCATGCAATAATGCATTTTTAATGTCCAACTGATGTAAGTGCCAATCATGAGTTGCAGCGAGTGAAATAAGTAACCTGACGGCTGTTAATTTAGCAACAGGAGAAAAAGTGTCAGAATAATCAACACCATAGGTTTGAGCATAATCCTTCACAACTAATCGGACTTTCAACCGAGCAACAAATCCGTCTGGATTAACCTTAACAGCAAAGACCCACTTACATCCAATAGACTTCTTCCTTGTAGGCAAGTATACCAAATCCCAAGTACCATTAAGATCCAAAGCATTCATTTCCTCTACCATGGCATGACGCCATTCAGGATGAGAAAAAGCTTCTTTAACAGATTTAGGAACAGAAATAGAATCGATGGAAGCAATAAAAGAACATGAGGCAGGGGATAACTGACTATACGACACAAATGAAGAAATGGGGTGAGTACAAGACCGTGTACCTTTACATAGTGCTATCGGAAGGTCAAGATCTGATGTAGAGACAAGATCTGAAGATGCATGTACTGGTTCAGGACATGAGCTCAAGGACGGACCAATATCGGGATAAGTAATCACAGGAGTCACAGGTGGAGGGTGATCTGGTGCTCTGTTTCGACGGGTGTAAACCAAGTGTACTGGCGGTCTGGGGTCGGGAACAGTAACATGTGGAATAACTACAGAAGGTGTAGATTCCGGTATAGTGACAGAGTAAATGAGTATTTCATCATTGTCATCATGAATATCTGTCTTGGATGATGAAAAAGGTGTATTTTCATGAAATGGTGCATCAATGGAAACAAGATATCGACCTGTGCTTGGACAAAAACATCTATACCCCTTCTGAACTCGAGAATAACCCAAGAAAATACATTTTAATGATTTGGGGTCTAACTTCGTAAGATGAGGATTAACGTCTCTAACAAAGCAAGTGCAACCAAATGTTTTAGGTGGGATAGGAAAAAGTTCTTTATTTGGAAACAAGCAGTGATAGGGAGCTTTACCATTTAAAACAGAAGACGGCATACGGTTTATCAAAAAACATGCGGTAGACACGGCATCCGTCCAAAACTGTTTAGGCACATCATTTGGAATAGAAGAGCCTTTGCAGTTCTAACAGATGTCGATTCTTTCTTTCAGCGACTCCATTTTGAGGAGGTGTGTCTACGCATGAAGTTTGATGAATAATGCCATTTTGAAGCATAAAAGATTTAAATGGAGCCGAGAGATATTCTTGGGCATTGTCTCCCCTCAACACACGAACAGGAACATTAAATTGAGTTTTAATTTCAGCACAAAATGCAGAAAAATGAGTAAGTAACTCTGATCGACGTTTCATAAAGTATAACCATGTCATACGAGAATAATCGTCAACAAATGTAACAAAATATTTGAAGCCAGATTTGGACACAACAGGACATGCCTCCCAAACATCAATATGAACAAGATCAAACGGAGCATTTGCTCGTTTATTAAGTCGAGGACTTAAACTAGTACGATGATGTTTTGCAAATTCACACGACTCACATTGTATAGATGACACCTTATTCAACTGAGGATATATTTGCTTCATTAGTGGGAGAGATGGATGTCCTAATCGGTAATGAGCTTCTAATAGATTTGAAACCCCAAGACAAGAGATACCTTTTGTGATTGATGTATCCAAAATATAAAGGCCAACCAACTCATGTCCCGTACCAATAGTCTGCTTTGTCAACAGATCCTGAAACACACAATATCCAGGAAAAAATGTTACCGAACAATTAAGAGTTCATGTGATTTTACTAATGGAAAGCAGATTAAATGCAAAATTAGGAAGACTCAAAACATGGGATAATGGTAATGTAGAACTTGGGACAACAGTACCAGATCCAAGAACAGGTGAGGTAGATCCATCAGCTAAAGTGACACTAGAATTAAGTAAATACGAATGAAATGATGAGAATAGACTAGGATTACCAGTCATATGATCTGTGGCACCTGAGTCAATGACCCATTTCGAGGATGAGGAAACAAGACATGTGTTTGAAATACCTGAATTAGCGACTACCGAGATAGGGGCAGATGAATGCTTCAAAAATTCTTGGTAGGAAATAAATTTGGCATACTCGTCCGAAGAAACAACAATTGATCCATCAGATGAAGTGGTAGCGGAAGCAACATGACCAAATTGATTTCCTTGATTCTTGAATACCAATTTCCTACATTCTTTGATCAAGTGCCCGGACTTCTTGCAGTATTTGCATATTACTCCTCTGTTAAGTTGACCCGCACACGACATTTTTTTTCTTTCTTTCTTTTTTTTTTTAATTTTTTTTAAGTAAAACAAAGAATAAAAGAAAGGAAGTTCAATAGAATTGGACTTCTGTATTCTCCTTGTTGACCGCTAGTAAACAGACTCAGAAAAGTGTGCAAGCATAGGTATCCACAACCATGATGCCTAATAGGCTTGTCCTCTCGGTTGTCTTTTGCGCGCTCGTTCCCTGGCCCTGCAGTCTCTTTTCCGATGGTAAGGAACGAAGCCTTTCCAGGCCAAAGACGAGCAACACCAGAAGATGGGTCTTACGTAGGCGAGCCGGAATGCGGTTTTCGATCGGAAATCTGGGCCGCGAATATACATCACGCGCCGGCGCGTGAGTTGAGGTCGCCAGACTTGTGATGGTGCGTGTAGCACACTCGCGGTGTAGTTGGACGTCGGATTTCGGTTGTGGGGTCGTCGGAGGTAGGCGCACCTCCTGGGTATGGCTTTGATGCAGTCTGGCCTGAAGAGAATATGGGGCTGTAAAGACTAACTGAGTTTCTAAAAAATTAGCAGCTAATTGATTTTCTGTTTTTTTTACCTCTCTGATACAATGTTGAAATATAAACTAGAATAATACTCCCTCTGGTCGTAAATAAACTTCACACTTTCCATTTTGGGTTGGTCCAAAATAAACTTCACACTTCTTCTCTCTTCCTTATTTGGCAAATTATCTACATCAAAACCGTGCAAAACGGTGCCAAATAGTGTCAAACAGTGCCAAACAATGTCACAACAGTGTACTCTACAGTAAAGTCAAATTCATTTCCTTAATTTGTGTGAAGTCAAAGTGTGAAGTTTATTTAGGACCGGAGGGAGTATTGAAAACTGGAGGAAAGATTTTCTGTGTTTTTCATTAGAGGGTTAAGACCCTATATATATTACAAAGATGGAATATTCCTATATAAGATGCTATACAATAATAATGTTTAGAGTATATTCCTAAAGCATATTCTAGAGCATATTCCTAAAGCACCCTAGATACAATAATACTTTCACACGTTTGAACTCTTTTTTTGGCACAAAAAAACCTGGTTGGAACATGTTTTTTTGGGACAGAGGGAGTGATTTTATAATTCCCAGATGATGCATTTCAATCATGTGGTTTATGTAGTACGTCTTTGTATGGCAGAAAGTATGAACTGGAATCTTATGCGGGAGTCGTTGCTCAACATGCTTCTGGTATGCGTATTTGTTTTCTAACCAAGTAACCATAATTTATCAGCAAATCACATGTGTGTTTTCTCAGCAATGCCATTTTATTGTTTTCCACCATTAATATTACAGGGGTCTAGAAAAATAGTCTATAAAACCTTAATTAAAGACTGCTTGTCTGCTGCATGCTATTTGTATCAAGAAATGAACTATACTCCAAGTATGGCAATGGCCCATTCTGGAAATTGCAATGTTGCAGTGGCAATGGCTTTACCTGAAGCTAAACAGTGTGCATGCGTTTCCCTGAATAAACTTCTATTATTGGTGAGCCCATAAGCGTCTATATATGGTTATGAAATCTCTTAATAGTATTTAATAATCTCTGATTATTCCACAAATCAGATTATTGAGCTTGATTCATCAAGGAACTTAGCAGACTCGCAAGGCTTGACCACTAGATCTGATGGTGTAAGGTGTTCCCTTTTTTTACCTCTTTTACCGTGCGAGGCTTGACCACTCTGATTTTGTATCTGTTGGACATAATAATCTATTTTAGGTTATTGGACAGAATCATCTATTTTAGGCGCATAGTAATTGTAATTAATTGTAGAATTGTAGAATTATCTCTTGCCTTGATTAGAATTGTATTTAAGGTAGATTATCTTTTTGATATTGTAGATCCTTTTATTCTAGGGAATCAATTAATTCTCTCTGTACCTATTTAAGTTCGGTAAATGAGAAGAAAATTAATTCCACCTATTTTCTTCTTTTATGGTATCAGAGCCGTATCGCCAACATCCATGGCGGGCCTGAACGCGAGCGATATCAGCACCAGCTCAACTGGTGACTCCGCCCGAACCAAACCTTGTATCGCTTTTGATTCTATGCAGAATCTGGCGATTACCTCCATCAAACTAAATGGAAGTAATTTCCTCCCGTGGTCACAGTCAGTCAAGTTTTTCATTCAAGGAAAAGACAAATTTGGCTACCTCTCAGGAACAACAGTTCAGCCAGGCCCCAAAGATGATGGATATGAACGATGGGAGGCCGAGAATTCCATGATTATGTCATGGTTGGTGAACTCGATGGAACCAGAAATTGGCAGAACCTATTTGTTTCTGCCATCCGCTAATGCCATCTGGGATGCCCTAAAGGAAACCTACTCAGATTTGGGGAATGCTGGGCAATTATTTGAGATCAAGACACAATTGGGAAAGGCGAAACAAGGGGAGAAGAGTGTAACTCAGTACTACACTGATATCATGACTCTTTGGCAAGAGTATGATCTGTTTTATGATTATAAATGGCACTGCCCGAAGGATGCTGCCCTTTATCGGAAAATTGTTGAAAAAGAAAGAGTTTTCGACTTCCTTGCTGGTCTGAACAAAGAACTTGATGAAGTTCGAGGGAGACTCCTTGGCCGAGACCCACTGCCAAGTGCACAAGAGGTGTTTGCTGAGGTTCGTCGCGAAGAGAGTCGTCGACATGTGATGCTCAGAGATGAATCCACCTCTTTACCCATTGAAACATTTGCACTGATGATCTCAAAACCAAATTTCAAGTCCCCACATCCTTTGCAGCAGTCTAATAAGAATCAAGAACGGCCAGTGTGTGATTTTTGTCACAAAATCGGGCACATCAAGGCAAAGTGCTGGAAGATTCACGGCAAGCCAGCTGAGTTCACCCCTTCCAACCGAGTCTCACGCAATACCAAAGGAGGCTTCCTCGCTGCATCTGGAGATCAAGCAAACACATCAAGCGACACCTTCTCCTTCACCAAGGATAGCCTAGAACAATTGTTTTAGTCCTGGAATACTCATCGGTCTGCTAATACCAACATCAATACTCCATATACATCAGTTTCAAATACCCCAACCTCAAATATCTCAGCCCATCCTTCATCATCTCTGGCGCAAAAAAGTATCTTAGTAGCCGCCCTTAGTGTAAGTTTAGAAAAATCCAACCCTTGGATCATTGATTCAGGGGCTACTGATCACATGACCGGGTCTTCCTACATGTTTTCTAATTACTTTCCTTGTTCGGGTAATCAAAAGGTAAAAATCGCATATGGTTCCCTATCCGCAATTGCTGGAAAAGGTTCTATCATTATATCTCTGTTTATTACCTTAAACAATGTCCTACATGTGCCCAACTTATTATGCAACCTTGTGTCAGTCAGTAAACTTGCTCACGATTCTGATTGTGTTGTAAAATTTGTGTCAAATGGTTGTGTGTTTCAGGACCAACGCTCTGGGAAGACGATTGGTAGTGCAAGAGAAAGTGGTGGACTCTACTATCTTGCTACTGACATCCTCTCGAGTAAACAAGTTCAGAAACCATGTTCTTCTAGTTTTTTATCCTTAGAGAATGAAATAATGTTATGGCACTATCAACTAGGCCATCCTAGCTTTGGTTATTTACGCCATGTGTTTCCTGTTTTATTTAAAAATAAGGATGCTAATTCATTTCAATGTGAGATTTGTCAAATTGCTAAACATAAACGTTTTGTTTATCCTTCTTTGCCTTACATGTCATCTAAACCTTTCTCTCTTATTCATAGTGACATATGGGGACCATCTAGGCTTAAAAATCTTTCTGGCACTAGATGGTTCATAACCTTTATTGATGATCACACTAGAAACACTTGGATTTATCTTCTTAAAGAAAAATCAGAGGCTGTAGAAACATTCAAAAGTTTTAACTCTATGATTAAAACACAATTTGGAGCTCAAATACAAGTCCTTAGAACAGATAATGGTAGAGAATTTTTTAATTGCACTCTTGGTTCGTTTCTCGCAGCCCAAGGCATTCTCCATCATAGTTCTTGTGTTATTACACCTCAACAAAATGGAGTTGCCGAAAGAAAAAATAGACATCTACTAGAGTTTGCCCGAGCTCTTATGTTTTCTATGAATGTTCCAAAACGTTTTTGGGGAGAAGCTATACTTCATGCTGCATACCTAATTAATAGGATGCCCAACAAAGTGCTAAACTATCAATCCCCTTTGAAAACTTTACAATTATCATATCCTCTTAACAGGACTTTCACTGGTTTATCACCTAAAGTATTTGGCTGCACTAGTTTTGTCCACATTCATGATCTTAACAGGAATAAACTTGATCCGAGGGCAATAAAGTGTATTTTTTTAGGTGTTTCACCAACCAAAAAAGGATATAAATGTTATGACCCAAGCTCGGGAAAGATATCAGTTAGTATGGATGTCACATTTTTTGAAAACAAACCATTTTTTGATCAAACTTCTCTTCAGGGGGAGAAAGAAATAGGAGACCAATTTTGGGAAAATATTGTGTTACCGATTCCTCTTACAAATTATGATAATCAAAGTAGGGCAGCTGATGTTGAACCTGTCATACCTATTATTTCTACACCTCACAAAGGGTCTGAAATAATAAATAATGTGGATCCCACATCTGAACTACGTGTTTACTCGAGAAGAAAAAAGAAGCAAGGTACTGATTCAGTACCAACTCAAGCCGACCTACCGTCCGACCAAAGTATTGTTTCAGGTAACATCATTCCCACAACTTCTTTTCCACATTTCCTTGATCCTATTCTTGAGACTGAGACTGATTCCCATGACCATAATTCACCTCTTGATCCGAGCCTTTATGAACCTATAGCACTTAGGAAAGTTGTTCATGAGTGCACCAAACATCCTATAAACCGTTATGTGTCATATCACCAATTATCTCCTACCTTTAGGGCCTTTACCACTAGCATAATCGATGATGAAATTCCGAGGATGATACAAGAAGCACTAAGCATTCCAAAGTGGAGAGAAGCTGTCCTAGAAGAAATGCGAGCTTTAAAAAAAATGAAACGTGGGAGTTAACAAATCTGCCAAAAGGAAAGCATCTTGTAGGCAGCAAATGGGTGTTCACGATCAAGTATAATTCAGATGGATCAATAGAGAGGTACAAAGCTAGACTCGTAGCTAGAGGATTCACTCAAACCTACGGTCTAGACTATGAGGAGACATTTGCCTTGGTTGCTAAACTCAACACAGTAAGAGTGTTGTTGTCACTTGCTGTTAACCTCGACTGGCCTCTTCTACAGTTTGATGTGAAGAATGCCTTCCTTAATGGAGAGTTAGGAGAGTTAGAAGAAGAAGTTTTTATGCAAGTACCTCCGGGTTTGATGATGAAAGTGTGGCAAGAAAGGTATGTCGACTGAAGAAATTTTTTATACGGCTTGAAATAGTCACCTTGCGCTTGGTTGGAAATGTTTACAAGGGCTGTAAAGGAAAAAGGATTTCGTCAAGCTCACGCTGATCATACATTGTTCTACAAACACACGGCCGAAGGGAAAATTGCTATCTTAATTGTGTATGTAGATGATATTATAATGACAGGAGATGATGAAGAAGGACTGGAGAAACTGAAGCTATTTCTAGCTAGGCAATTTGAAATTAAAGATTTGGGAAAGCTCAAGTTCTTTCTCGGGATGGAAGTAGCTAGATCAAAGAAGGGAATTGCTTTGTCTCAACGAAAGTATGTGCTCGATTTACTCAAGGAAACAGGTCTTCTTGGATGTAAACCTGCTTCCACTCCTATTGACCCTAACCATAAGTTAGAAAGGTCCGAGTGCGGAGCTGCTGTTGATAAGGCTCGGTATCAAAAGTAAGTGGGAAAACTCATCTATCTAGCTCACACACGACCTGATATAGCCTTTGCAGTGAGTTTAGTCAGTCAATTTATGCATAATCCGGCTGAAGAACATCTGAAAGCTGTCTACAGAATCCTACACTATCTCAAGGGAAGTCCCGGCAAGGGTATTCTATTCAAAAAAAATCACAGTAGGAAAATTGAGGTCTTCACAGACGCAGATTATGCAGGAGTTGCGAACGATAGGAGATCTACATCAGCCTATTGTTCATTCGTTTGGGGAAATTTAGTAACCTGGAGAAGTAAAAAACAACATGTGGTGTCAAGAAGTAGTGCATAAGCCGAGTATAGAGCAATGGCACACGGAATCTGTGAAGCTATTTGGCTAAGGAGCATTCTCAATGAACTGAAGGTGAAGACAGAAATGCCAATGAAGTTGTTTTGTGACAATAAGTCAGTCATCAGTATTGCTCACAATCCTGTCCAACATGACAGGACCAAACACGTGGAAGTTGATCGTTTCTTCATCAAAGAAAAGCTAGAAGGAGGAGAAATTTGTATACCTTACGTTCCCACATCAGAGCAACTCGCAGACATTCTGACCAAAGGGCTATACAAACAAACATTTGAAGATTTTCTAGTCAAGCTGGGCATGATTGACATTTTTGCCCCAGCTTGAGGGGGAGTGTTGGACAGAATAATCTATTTTAGGTTATTGGACAGAATCATCTATTTTAGGCGCATAGTAATTGTAATTAATTGTAGAATTGTAGAATTATCTCTTGCCTTGATTAGAATTGTATTTAACGTAGATTATCTTTTTGATATTGTAGATCCTTTTATTCTA